CTGGTGTTTGGGCAGGGCTCTATAGATTATATAGTGAAAATGCATTATTTCTTTGAAAATCTTCTTCTCTGCTCCTGGGTATTAAATAAACTAACTAAGCACATAGTTATGATGAGCAAGAGTGCCTCTTCCAGATTTGTGAATTTTATGGCCCCAGGGTCAGGGTTTCTGGTGTTAGGGCGGGGCTCTATTGATCATATAGTGAAAATGCATTTATTTTTTGACAATCTTCTTCTCTACTCCTGGGTATTAAATAAATTAACTAAGCACATAGTTATGATGAGCAAGAGTGCCTCCTATAAAATTGTGAATTTTATGCCCCCTGGGTCAGAGGAGGGGGGGGGGCTAAATAGTCTGAAAATAGATTAATGCTTTTAAATCTGCTCTTTGGTATTAATCAACCATTTTGTTTTAAAATTTGCAAAATTTTGAAATATGTGGCCCCTGGGTCAGTGGTTCCTTTAGGGTGAGGTGCACAGCTGGGTATAAAGTGGAAGTGGATTTTCTCTTTGTTACTCTGATCTACCTCTGGGTATTAAGTAAATAGAGTACGCATGTTAAGTTAATAATTATGATAAGCAATGGTGCCTCTTTCAAAATTGTGAATTGTGAATTTCATAGCCTCTGGTTTAACTCAAATTCAAGTGTTTGAAAGTTGTTACAAATACTCAGAGGACCTATAAGGCCCGTGGGCCTCTTGTTTTTTGAAAAAATCTGATTTTCATTATTATTTACTTCTTATTGTGGTCAGGATAATCTTGAAATCAATACATCGAAAATAAAAAATTTTTTTTACCAAATAAATAATCATTTCTCAATGCAAACATAACTATTTAGTCGACGAATTTACATGCACACGCCATGATTTTCGGGGGTTTGATTATATGTGTTTTTCTCTTGAGTTTATTTTTAATTAATTAATTTTAAATTTCTGCAAATAAAAAGTTGAATAATTGGCAAGTTTATTTTTAGGGATTCGCAGACATGGAATCGATCGAAATATACGGATAAAATTTGTAATCACAATTTATGTCATTCCATGCTGCCATTTTGTTCGATTGTTACCCCGTTTCTGCATATCATTAAATCCAATTCAATCAAATTATGCGACCCTCATACATGTACATCTTCTGATAGAACGAACAAAATCTGTTTTCTTAAGTCGGAGAAATACCTTAGAAATAATTATTTATAATCTTAAATATTAAGTCTTACATATATTTAGCTACAGAAATATCATTTTTCGGTTTTTTTTTCAAGTCTTTGAAGTAATATTGATAAAGCTAGGCAATCTTAAAGTAGTATTAAGCCGTATTTCGTTTTGAAAATATTGATTCCTAAATATTTTGAACTATTTTGAGTGAAGAATCGTGCGTTTGCGTTAGCAATCGTGTAAGATCGTGTAACGTGTAGAATCGTGAACGTGAAAGATCGTTCGTGTAACAGGTTTAATCGTGCGGAATCGTTCGTGTAACGTGATCGTTCGTGTAAGTTGTCAACAATAACGTTCCAGCCACTGTAACATTTATAAAAAAGTGTTATTTCGCCGAATTTTGATCCATGTGCTGCCTTAACAAACCCGCGTAATAAAAAATATAAAACATTAACAGAAATTAGTAAAAGCATATAAACATTTTCAGACTCTTTGAAGGGGGGGGGGGGAAGAACCACAAATTGTACGCATTGAATGTAGCCAGGAACCAGTATCAATATCTAGATGGAAGACCTAGGAAGTATGTATCAAAACAAAAAAGAAATTAACAATTTTGTGCTCTTTATTATTCCTTTCTTTTTTATTTTGAAGTTTTGTGTTTGTAAATATTTTCTTTAAAATGTTTTATCCGCTGGTACACACACACTGGGGCATTTTCATGCGATGATTTTATTGGTTAGCGAGTAATTTTACGTCATTTTCACTCACACGAAATTACGTGCTAGGTGAGTAGTATTTATAGGAGAATTTAAACTTCACAAAATCAGTGCATGTTTCAACATTGCTCAAGTATGGCCGAATCCAGAAAGAGTAGAGGAAACTTTAGGGAGAGGAAAACAGAAAGTTTAATGGAGATGAAACCGAGGGACTTCAGCAATCCATGAAATCCTTGATGATGCTTCCTGATACTGAAGTATACGAATGAATCAATGGTGCAGGTGCATGGTCTCCTCCCCACCACCATTCCATGCAACGTCGATGATTGTTAGGGAGAAATGATATTGAAGTCATCTGCAAGAAACGTCGATGGTGCCGTCTGCAGATGCCCGAGGAATAGACTACAACACCAGAGCCTGCAGAGCCAACTCCTTCTTTGAGAAGAGCAACTTGACTCTCCAAGACATGGTTCTTTTCATCAAGACATACTTGGATGGTTCCTCTCTCAATCAATGCGCCAGATTTGCAAGGGTGGCATACAAGTCCACAGCGGTGCACTGGGGGTCCTTCATCCGCGAGCTCTTTAAAGAGTATTTTGAGGTTACCACTAACGCAAAAATCTTTTAGGTGAGATTGAGATCGACGAGTCGTTGTTTAGTAGAAGAGTCAAGCACCACAGAGGAGATTTCAATAGAGGACGTAAGGTAACATGAATTGCACACTATGTATATTTTATACATATTTACATCGATATTGAACTGTTATTACTATTATTTACAGTTTAAGTATTAACACTATGTAAAATTTATTCACATTTTCATAAAATATAAAGAAATTGAAACATTTACAAAATTGAACATTTTTTCCTCAGATTTGGATCTCTGGAATGGCGGAGAGGGAGACCAACACCCTCATTATATATCCTGTGGTAGACAGAAGCGGAGAGACTCTACTTCCTATTATTGAACGGCATGTTGAAGTTGGAAGCACCATCTTCAGTGACGGCTGGTCTTCTTACTGTTCCTTAAATGATCGGGGGTATGATTATTTTACGGTGATTCACAAGTATGCGTTTAAGAAGACAAATATTAACACGACAACACAGTAAGAGATGGATGATCATACCAACCGCATTGAGGGTGCGTGGAAACACGCAAAGGACCACTTTAAGAGAATGGCAGGCACAAAGCTTAGTCAATTCGAAGGACACCTTGCTGAAATAATGTGGAGGTCGGCCATCAACACAGATGTTTTATCCTCCTTCTTCAATCTTGTGAAGTCGGTCTACCCGCTCAACAAGCCTGCCACATATCACTACACGACCCCATTGTTTGACACATGGGCCTGTCTGCCAGACTCCCAGTTATGTGTCTGGGATATCAGACCAGGTATGATAAAAAATAAAGTATTGAATTAAGAGAAAAAATGCAACAAAAATAATAACATGAAACTTCATCAAAATTATTATTAGTAGATCAAGTTTCATTTCAACAGAAAGACATCAGTGTAACAATAAACTGTAAATATTAGTAAACATGTAAAACATGAGACATATTCCATGTAAAATGCACAAAATGACTCCCATGAGGAGAAATTTTTCAAAATGTTAGTTTGGTCGATTTTTGCATTGAAAGTGATAATATGTACATCAAAGGAGAAAAATATGTAAGAATTAAAATTATGGACCCTTTAAATAACTAATTATTTTAATTTCAAAATGTTGTTGCAATTGTCACACTTTTTGACGGATTGTTTGACGGAAAATGTGACATTAGAAATTCAAAGAAATGCAAATTCCTAAATCACCTTTGATGATATTAACTTTAACATCATTCTATTCACTAACTGTGAAAATTATATAAATACATTTATATTTTTGTTTTAGTTTGCATCAACAGATTTCTTAAAACTGTTGTTTGTTTCTGTTGCTAGTGTCAATTTTTGACGGATGTTCATGAGGCTAATGTTGTTGTTTGACAGAAACACAATTTGCTAACTAGCACATTGACGGAACTGCAGAATGCTTATGTCAATTTTTGATGGAAAAACATATTGCTAATTGAAATTTGACAGACATATTGTTGCTAATATCAGTGTTTGACAGGCATTGTCCTTGTTTACTGTGCATCCATTTATAATGAAAGAGATTCTAGAGATTTTTATCCTATTTGTCTATAGACAGACATGTATAAATAAATACATCAAAGAAAAAACACGAAATGGTGTCAAAGATATTTAATGATGAGGTGATTTAAAGTATAATTTCATTCATTCATTTCATTTCCTCTAAAAGTCTTCTCTGTCTCTTTGGTAAATCCTGTTGAAAGAAGTCATTCATGATATTGAATCTATTTCACACTTGCCAGTACTCAACTTTTGTAAAAAATTAATATCTGTGAAAAATTTCACCCAAGTTTACTATACTTAACAGCTTAATATCATTATCACTACCCCTATAGATACTTACAATAGTATACACGAGACCCTCTCATCTCCACAGATGGGACATCAATCGGCCTCAAAACATCTGAGGGGAGAAGTGTGTGGAGTATTGCCCCCTCCACCCAAAGTTTTACGGACTTTTTGAAGTCCAATAAACGAACATACGGCCAATGATCAACCTGTTCAAAAGCAAAGACATATTTTAACTATTTGTTTGATCCATTTACATACTGTATATGTACACTATTAAATACTCCTATAGTTAAATGACATTTCAAGTTTTTTTTACTTATAAGCCTAATAAATAGAGTTCTGTGTATAAATGTGTATCTGCAAAAAAAAAACCCATTAAAAATGAGTTCAATTAAAGCCTTCAAGTTAGTGAATTTTCAAACTAACTTTCATAAAACTCAATGAAACAAATTTTAAAAAACATTAATAATAAAAGGAAATTAGAATCCAATTTCAATTTCTGGACTTACAACTGCAGGAATTATATTTGAACCATGTAATACAGCAATGAATGTCCCTGAAGAGTAGCTTTAAAAAATTGCAAGGCAAGAACATGATAAAAACCATCCATGTATTATGCATTTCTAATTTGTGCATGAAACAGAGATCAAAACTTTTAAAGATATACCTTTGATTCTGGATCTGTGGGTAAACACTGGACACTGAAAATGGACAACCAGGAAGTAGTGGAGACAAGCCCTGTGCTTGCAACTGGTCTACTGGAAAGCTGAAGAAATGTTGCATTAATTAAAGCTTTAAAGTTACCTGTACTTTCTTTTTACTAAAATTTACACGCTTTAGTTTCCAATATATCAAGTACTATACAAATACTGTATAAATTGCAATATACAGTATATATTTACCTCTCAGTCGGACCAGTTTCATCACGTTTAGTTAGTTCACACAGAATGTCTGGAAATATCCTTTAATATAAATTACATCTAGTTAGCTCTAAGGCACAGAGATGTAAAGCAACTTTAACTTGATTCAACAATATATAGAATTACTTCACCGCTGCCATAATAAATATGTGTTACATGTACTCACCTCTCAGGCGAGTCAGAAACATCAACTGCAGATTGTTGAAATGGAATCTCTTGGGAAAGCCTTTTAACATAAATTATATCTAGTTAGCTGTTTTTAAGCACACAGCATACATGTACATAGAAGTTGTTAATTATCTTTGTCAACTTGAGTACAGGCAAACTGTTACCTTGAGTCATCCTCATCTGATTTACGAACCTCCGCTGAACCCCTGAGATACAAAACAATTTTAATTCATCATAAATTTGTTTTTATGCGCCCGGATCGATAGATCCCGGGCGTATACTGTTTTTGTCCTGTCTGTTTGTCTGTTTATCTGTTTGTCTGTTGTCAACTTTAACCTTGGCCATAACTTTTGAACAATAAGAGATAGAGACTTCATACTTGGTATGCATACTCCACTAATAAAGTCCTTTCAAATGACATCAAGGTCAATGACCTTGTGACCTTGACTGTGACCTATATGCTAAAAATAGCTTTTTCCACTGTTTGTCATAACTTTTAAACCATAGGAGATAGGGACTTCATATTTGGTATGCATACTCCACTAATAAAGCCCTTTCAGTTGACAACAAGGTCAATGATCTTGTGACCTTGACTGTGACCTATATGCTAAAAATAGCTTTTTACACTTTTTGCCATAACTTTTGATCCATAGGATATAGGAACTTTATATTTTGGATTCAAACTACACTGATTAAGTTCTTTCAAATGACACCATGGTCAGTGACCTTGACTGTGACCTATATGCTAAAAATAGCTTTTTACACTTTTGGCCATAACTTTTAAACCATAGGAGATAGGGACTTCATATTTGGGATGCATACTCCACTGATTAAGTTCTTTCAAATGACACCACGGTCAATGACCTTGTGACCTTGACTGTGACCAATATGCTAAAAATAGATTTTTTGAACTTTGTTGCCGCCGGGCGCATAGTGTTTCACAAACACATCTTGTTTTTATGCGCCCGGATCGATAGATCCCGGGCGTATACTGTTTTTGTCCTGTCTGTTTGTCTGTTTATCTGTTTGTCTGTTTGTCTGTTGTCAACTTTAACCTTGGCCATAACTTTTGAACAATAAGAGATAGAGACTTCATACTTGGTATGCATACTCCACTAATAAAGTCCTTTCAAATGACATCAAGGTCAATGACCTTGTGACCTTGACTGTGACCTATATGCTAAAAATAGCTTTTTCCACTGTTTGTCATAACTTTTAAACCATAGGAGATAGGGACTTCATATTTGGTATGCATACTCCACTAATAAAGCCCTTTCAGTTGACAACAAGGTCAATGATCTTGTGACCTTGACTGTGACCTATATGCTAAAAATAGCTTTTTACACTTTTTGCCATAACTTTTGAACCATAGGAGATAGGATCTTCATATTTGGGATGCATACTCCACTGATTAAGTTCTTTCAAATGACACCATGGTCAATGACCTTGTGACCTTGACTGTGACCTATATGCTAAAAATAGCTTTTTACACTTTTTGCCATAACTTTTGAACCATAGGAGATAGGAACTTCATATTTGGGATGCATACTCCACTGCTTAAGTTCTTTCAAATGACACCATGGTCATTGACCTTGACTGTGACCTATATGCTAAAAATAGCTTTTTACACTTTTGGCCATAACTTTTAAACCATAGGAGATAGGGACTTCATATTTGGGATGCATACTCCACTGACTAAGTTCTTTCAAATGACACCACGGTCAATGACCTTGTGACCTTGACTGTGACCAATATGCTAAAAATAGATTTTTTGAACTTTGTTGCCGCCGGGCGCATAGTGTTTCACAAACACATCTTGTTTTTTCAGAAAATTACCCTTATATTTGATCAATGCATAAAAATAATGTATATTACCTTGATTCTTCACCATGGATATCAGGATCATACAGACATCCAAGAAGATCTGTAATCATGGTCATGCTGTCCCAGGTATCCTCAATTTCAAAAGAGAACTCTTCATTTGTTTCCTCTTGTAACATTTCTAACAATCGAACACAATGATTTGGACGCCACTGCACTTCTGGGATGTCTGTTCCAAGAACATTACTCCACATGATATGAACTGTCTCTGGTCTGGTTTTGCTTGCCAGTCTGTAAGGTATAAATTTCCTATGAAGGTCTATTCTGACGGTGGAACCTCCATATTCTGGATACACAGATATAATTTCTGAGTTAAGGATATTTGACAGTGCCGCTATCTGCCAAATACCCATATATGAATTTTTCGAACAAAGGCCAAGAACTTCTGCGCGATATATCCTTCTTATGTTTGTAGGGGTCAATTTTTGATCAAGATATTGTTCAGAAAATATGGCAAATGTTTTCACTATACTGCCATTAACATCTGCATTTGCTCCTCTAGCCAGATATGCGTCACTAAGATATTTTTCTTCATTTTCAACAAGTTCTTTTATGATTCTGACTCGCATTTCTAAGTGTCTGTCTTAAATTCCATATACTAGTACACTCGCAGTTCTTGGAAGGCAGTTGCCATCCCCATACACCCTAGCTGGGTATAATGCTTTTATTTGGTAGTCAGCTGGCAATAGCTTTAGAACTTTATTGTCGATGATAAGTCCATGTGATATGAATGTAACTTTAGGTAGTTTCAGAATTGGAGGAAATTCTGTTGCAAACTCTGTTACTTTGATTTGAATGTCATCAAAAGTGTTACTCTCTTTTTATAGGTATTTAGACCTCTCACATATAGGGAGAGGAATGATAAAGAGTTTTTAATCATGTGATCGTGGAAATTGTTAATTCACATTATTTTGCAGCAGAGTCGTTTTCATTTTTATTTTTTTTCAAATCTCGGATAAATGTGTCGAGTTTCTTTTGATTAGCCTCGCTTTGAGAGCCTTTCCTAGGCACGGAGGCGCTCCTGAGTTTTCTAGTATATTTGGCAGCAATTTTTACGATAGCACCAAGTTTGTTTTCACCTGGCCATTTGGATGGTTCTGTTTGAGTTGTGCCGATGGTATCCAGGCCTGTACCCCAGTACACGTCAACAGTAGATTCGGCAAAGATCGTATTAGCATTGGATGTTTCGAGTTTTTCTCGCATTTGATTTATTTGTTCGGCTTTTGCTGCCACAATTTCCTCCATTATATCAAGTTTTTGTTCGCCCCACCCCTCCGGATCCTTTATGGAATTTCCTATCTTTTTAGCATCGAGTGCTGTGGGAGCGTGTCTTACCTTCTCAGCTGCGTCTACGTTACCTGCACGTATCGCTTTTGTCAACTGGTAAGCATGCTCAGCAGACTGGTGGTGCTCGCCAAAGACTTTGATGTCGCAAGGAAAGAAGTTTGAGATGGGATTTTCTTTTCCATGGAAAGCAACAACGTTTTCAGTCTCTTTGTAGTGTTCACAGTCCGTAGATCCTGGTTCATGACCAGGCTCGCGACATACTCTGCAGGCCTTTTCACTGTTGCATTGCTGACCTCGGTGTCCAAATTCCCAACAATTATAGCACTGAAGCTTTGGGGAGTTGGTAACTTGACCATAATGGAAAAGACGACATTTTAGACCAGCACATGTAACATTTCTCGGGAGAGATTTGTTATTCAGTGGGGCAATATATAAAAATCTATTGCCGTTGAGAACGCTGGTCATTCGATGGGTTACGGGGTGTCTAATGTTCTCGTATTTGAGATCGCTTTTAATACTAACACCAAAGTTATTCAGCATCTCAAACACCGCACTGTCGTCAACAGATAGGGGTAGACCATTGATTGTAACTTTGAGTACTTGGTCGTTGGGATTTTTTGCGCCAGTTGAATACGGGTTAGAGTCGTAGACTTGGACGGATATATTTCTAACCTCGAACCCCTCAACTTGAAGCTTCGAACGACTTTCCATACATGTGAGGTAAACTCGCCATAGATCTCTTTCCAACTGAATGCAATATATCTTGTCTCCAATTTTTTCACGATACTTCATTTTGTGCGGTGTGCGGTGTGCGTTAACTTTTTAGAATATGGGCCATAACTCAAGATCCCCTTGGCCAATCAGTGTCAAATTTGTCACAGGGTATCCTTGGCCCAATGGCTACCCTTTATACTAAAATAAGGGTTGGGACCCTTAAACAAGGGGAGATAATCAGGAAAACAAAACCAAAAGTACTGGTTGCTAAAAAATCTTTTTCTCCAGAACCACCAGGCAGATTTTCACCAAACTTACATACAAGGATCAGGATATATTGAAGATTAAAAATTGTTCAAGGCATGACCCTGGGGCAAAGGGCGTGGTCTCAAGGTCACTTCAAAGTTGACCTAAATTTACAAATAATAAAAATGTTTATATTTTGCTTACTATTAGGACTAGGATCATCAAATCTTGTAAGTTGATGCATCTCAGGACTTCACATCATGTTAACTCAAAAGTAGGTCACGGTGACCTACTTTTTAAATTCTGTAAGCATTTGCTTTCATATTGATTTGAAGGCATATTTCGGGCACTTTAAGGCCTATGATCATCAAACTTTGTCAGTTGATGCATCTTGGGTCCTTGAACAACGTCAACCAAAAAGTAGGTCACCGTGACCTACTTTTTGAACTTTATGACTAATTCTTTTTAAAACATTTAATCCAATTATTTCAGACACTGAGAGGTTTAGAATCATCAAATCTTGTAAATTGATGCATCTTGGGACCTTAAAACATATTTATGAAAAAGTAGGTCACTGTGACCTACTTTTTGAATTTTGCAGGCACTTGTTTTTAAATTGTTTAAAAGGCATATTTTGATTACCTTCAGACCTAGGATCATCAAACTTGGTCAGCAGATGCATCTTGTGACTTTGAAAAATTTCGACCAAAATATAGGTCACTGTGACCTAGTTTCAACATTTTATGGTTATATTTTAGTATCTTAGGTATTTATTGGCTTAGAATCATCAAACTTTGTGAGTTGATGCATCTTGGGTTTTTGGAGAGTAACGACAAAAAAGTAGGTCACGGTGACCTACTTTTGACATTTTATGGCTTTATTTAAGTATCTTTTGGTATTTATTGGCTTAGAATCATCAAACTTTGTAAGTTGATGCATCTTGGGTTTTCGGAGAATGATGTCTAAAAAGGAGGTCACTGTGACCTACTTTCGACATTTTATGGCTATATTTTAGTATCTTAGGTACTAATTGGCTTAGAATCATCAAACTTTGTGAGTTGATGCATCTTGG